AACAAGCAACACAGATTTCAATAGAACACAAAGAGAGAAAGAAACCTGATGTGGTATCACGTGCATATAATTCCAGTACTCAGGAGACAGAGGCAGGGGATGAGAAGTTCCAGGCTAACCTAAGCTACACAGTGATACACTGTATCAATTCAAAACAAAAAGCAAGCAAACAAACAACCCTCTCTCCAAAAGTCTACAAGGGCTAGGAGCCAGCCAGATGGCTTAGTGGGCAAGGGTACTTGCCACCAAGCCTGACAACTTGAGTTCAATCCTCTGGATCCTCGTGGTGGAAGGCGAGAAGAGGGACCACACGACGCTTGTCATGTGACCTTCATGCACGTGCTGTGATACTCAGGTCCCCTGCTTGACACAAACACACATAAAATAAACACATAATATAGGAAAAGCCACGGCCAGGGATGTATTTCAGTGGTAGAGAGCAAGGGCCTGGGTTTGAGCCCCGGTGCTTTAAAAATATTAGGCACCTGTCTTTAATCTCAGCACTTGGGAGGCAGAGGCAGGCGAACTCTGTGAGTTCGAGGCCAGCCTGGTGTACAGAGCGAGTTCCAGGACAGCCGGGGCTACACAGGGAAACTCTGTCTTGAAAAACCAAATATATGTGTTAACCAATTGAACTTTACCTAGAGTGCTTGCTTCAGCAGCACATGTGCTAAAATCAAAATGAAACAGACTGATTTGTCTCTGTGCAAGAGTGACTTACAAATCCATGAAGCATTTTGTACTTTCCCGGTGCTGGGGAAAGTGAGCAGCCATGTGAAGAACAATGAAAACAGATGTAGACCTCTGAACCTGAACAAAAATGAATTCAATTCAAAATGGACCAAAGACTTTTATGTGAGGTTTGCAGCCACCAAACTGCTAGAGGGAGATGGTGAGCATGTTGAGGTGTAGAGCCAGGAAAGGGCTCTTGAAAAGACTCCAACAGTTTGGGAAATAATAGCAAGAATTATGTCCAGCACGGTGGAGCTGGCCTGTGATGCCATCATTTGGTAGGCAAAGGCCTGAGAGGCAAGACAAGATTGGAGCTGGAATTTGGAGCTGGCACGATCTACATACTGAGGTCCAGATCTGCCATGGCTGCATGGTAAAATTATGTCTTAGAAAAAGTGTGTGTGTGGAGACTCCACGAAACTAGAAAGCTTCCAAACCAGGTGTGGTGGCTCATGTCTATTGTTCTTGCAGTTGGGAGGCTTGGGCAGGAGGGCTGGCCGAAGTGTGAGCCCAGGCTGGGCTACACAGTAAGTTCCAGACTTGGCTAGGCTGCAACGAAGCACTCTCTTAGAATGCAAAGCAAGCAAAACAAAATCCTTGAATTACAAAGCCATACCAAACCATCATCATCCACAACAAAAACCCTTCACAGTAAAGGAAACTAGTCAGTAAGTGGTTGCCTTCAGAAGGAGAGACTTTGGTAGCTATGTGACTGACATTAACACCTAAAATACACAAAGTACATTCATCTCTGAAACTAAAGTCCCTCCAATAATCTGTGTGCATCATAATTTAATTGATCATTGATAGTGAGTTGGGTGTCAAGTTGTTTTTTGTTTGTTTGTTTGTTTGTTTTTGTTTTGTCTTAGGACAAAAAAAAACCTCCATAGCTTATAGTCAAAGACATCTGGTATTCAATAAACGATGTCACAGAAATCCATGAAGTGTCGTGCCTCTGACAAGTGGCCCCAAATTGTGTCAACTATTCTATTTGTCACCCAACCTCAAGAGATTTTTATACCTTTCATAGCACCCTGGCTGCTTTTAATAAAAGTCATTATTCAGTTTCATGACTAAAAATTCAAACCTTTTATTTGTTGCCTTGGTGTGTGTGTGCACATGTGTGCACATGCATGCATGTGTGTATGCAAGCCTGAAGCTGACAGTGAGTGTATGCCTTATCCGCTGAGCCATCTCCTTGGCCCCCAAACTTACATTTTTAATGCATTCCAGCCTCTTGGGAAATTGTTGGTATTTTGATTTCCATATATCCAATTACAGTGTTCAATCAATGCTTCCTAATGTTACCCATCTTTATTTTCCATTACCATCTCTTCTCACTATCCCATCCAACAAATGGTGAGTTATGAAAGAACCTTTGGTGCTTTGGAAAGGGCAAGTTTGGTTCCCCGTCTGTTAAGTCACTAATTAGCCGCCTGCCTAATGCGTCTCTCAGCTATTAGAAGAGGGAGATATTTGCTTCACAGTTATAGAGGATCAAATGGAACCGTACAGGTGGAGGTGCCTTACACTTACTGTGCTCTGGAGATCTGATGGCACAGCTAGGTCTCAGGTTCCCTCTGTAATTTTCCCAATCTTGGATCACCTCCAGAGACAACAGACAGGAAGTTGCACTTGATTCCTTCCTGTTCATCCAGATGATGGTCAGGGTGATTTCTGTCCTTGACCTGCACACACAGCAACACAGCATGGAGAACAAAGTCAGTCACTATTATGTCTGACTGCATGCAGTTTCCAGTGAGAATGTGAACAGTTTTGCTTTAAATGTCATTACCCCCCCCTTGCTGTTGTGTGGGCTGTGGCTTCCTAGAGAAGGCTTACCTTGATGCCTTCAAGGCTGTGAGCTTCTTTGAGTGTTACCAGAGATAAGCTCCGCTTTGCTTGCTTTAAGTATTGATCATTTATTTGTGGTTTTCTTCCTTTTGAACATTTTAAGCTTTGGGCTTTCCTGGGTGTTGCACACTAATAAAGCTACCTTTGTCTTTGGCTTGTCTTTAGCCTGAAAGTAGGGCAGGGGTGGACGGAGTCACCAGTAGATACTTAGCACCCACTCTGCACCCGTCACGGGATTTCCTGTAGGCAGGTTAGTGTTCTGGGTAAGATGAGGATGCTGAGGTGATTGTCAGGGATGGCAGCACCCAAGCCAGACCCAAGTCCTTTCGACGTTCACATCTCCAGTGTGAATGCTAAGCGTGCGGGGTGGAGCACTGACAGTAGGACCCACGGCCTCATGCATGACAGACAAGTGCTCTGACCCCGCACGGCAGCTCCCGCCCATTTCTAGCCTCTTTCCTTTCGACTTTTGCTTTTGCCTGGGCCTAATGGGAAAGGGAGTGAAGATGTGGTATTTGAGCAAGCATTTGATATTATGCTTTTTGCTTCTCTGTTTTATTTCTCTCTCTCTCTGTGTGTGTGTGTGTGTGTGTGTGTGTGTGTGTGTGTGTGTGTCCTCTGTGGCCAGAAGAGGGTGTCTGAGTGCTGAGAACCCGACCTGGGTCCTCTGAAGAGTGGCAAGCACTCTTAACCTCCGCTCCGCCATCTCCCAGCTCCGCTTTTCACCTCCTCTTTCCTGTTACCATTTCATTTCAGTTTTCCTCTGGAAAAGGAACTAGTCAGTGGGTTGTTTGCTTTTTACACCTTCCTGGCACTCTTCCAGGTTCTTATGGCATTGCAGAAGCATCTGCCCAGAGGCGTCCCACAGAGAAGACAGACTAGAGAAGGCTCAAAGATAAATTACATGAATGTGTTGCTACAAAACTGCTAATAAAACCTGCCACAGGGGAAGAGCAGAGGGTGTGATCTGTTGGCAAGATCAACCCTATTTAGCCCCAACTATCAAGAACTAAAAACACAAAGAAATGCATATTATTTCTTTAAACTGCAAAAGGAAGAGAGACCTGCCAGAAAGGAAAATAAAAAAAAGTTTTCCAATGCTGAGAACTTATTTGTATAAACTCACAAAGAAAGATTTTCTTTTTTAATACTTTAGAGTATATTTTCTTTGGACAATCAAAGAAAACTGTTTTCTACACTGGTCGAAGTAATCTCAGATTAGGGTTGATCAGATACAGCGCTTACAATGTAGTTATTTTTTCCATTTCCTGACATGCCTAATTTTTATATTTGGCTACTAAATTGCTTTATCACTTTTGTAGTAAAGTTTAAAATTTTTACTTTCAATGCTTTTCTCTCCAATGAGAAAGTCCACTTTGAGAAGACCGTGTATGAAGGAAGAAATTAGACTCTGAATTTAATTTGGTTTCTTAAGTTCTCAGATATAGAAAATGTTTCTTTCCAAAAACTATACTAATTAAATGATTTAAGATCACAAAGGAAAAGTGGGACCTCTGGAATAAATTTCGATGAATAAAGAATAAAGTATAGAAAATTTAATATATTTAGAGAAAAGAAAGAACACGCATATAAAAAGTCGGGGGCGGAGCCATATACCTTTAATTCCAGCACTTGAGAGGCAGAGGCAAGTGGATCTCTGTGAGTTCGAGGCCAGTCAGATCTACATAGTAATTTCCAGGACAGCCAGAGCTAAGTTGGGGGCGTGATACAGCTCAGTGGTAGGGCCTTGTGTTGAACAGGGTCTGAGTTCCATCCTCAGCACCACAAGTACAAGCGAGCAAGCAAACAAACAAAAACCTCCAAAGTTAGATAAACACTTCAGAGTGAAAATTATTTTTAAAAACGTTATTGGTGAGGATTCCCTTTGAGAAGTAAGCTTTCATAGAAAGCAGGGCACAGTTTCTGCTTCATCATTTCCTTCATATTCATTTATTTGTCCCTTAAGTGAAGCAAAGTAGCATTTTCCTGGGAGAGAAAACGCCACTATAAATGCTGCAGAAAGATGTCCCTGGCTCCTGTGTGCCCGACAGAGCCTGCGAGAGTTGTCGAAGCGGTGGTTTGGGAAAATCCCCGAGCTGGGGTGCCCGGGTGCACCTGAGCACCGTTTATCTGACGACGGCTTTCGGGTGCAAACACGCACTGGCTACCGCATCCCCCAAACGTTAAGTTTGGTGCCTGGAAAAGTGACCGACGGGGCGGGATGTGCGAGCACCTGCTTGGCGACTCTCCGGGGCGGTCCGGGGCCGGCTGGCGGCCGGGAGGAGAGGCTCGTCCCACCTGGGCCGGAGCGCCACCCGCCCAGAGCCCGCCGGGCGAGCAGCCAGGGCGGCCCGGCCGAGGGGCGGTGCGGAAGGGCGGAGGGCCAGGGGCGGGGGCTGCGGCTGTCGGAGGAGCGGAGCGCTGGCCGGAGGCTCAGGCTGGGTCGGGTCGCAGGTGCCGCAGCAGCTCTGGCCATGAGGACCCTGTGGATGGTGCTGTGCGCGCTGGCACGGCTGTGGCCCGGGGCCCTGGCTGGCTGCGCAGAGGCCGGGCGCTGCTGCCCTGGCCGGGACCCAGCCTGCTTCGCCCGCGGCTGGAGACTGGACAGGGTCTACGGAACGTGCTTCTGCGATCAAGCCTGCCGTCTCACCGGGGACTGCTGCTTCGACTACGCCAGGGCGTGCCCAGGTGGGTGGCTGGGCCCGGGGAGGGGCCGCCAGCCCTGTAACCCCAGCCAGCAGGCAGAGGGCAGGGCGCAGGACCGCTAGGAGCCGGGAGCCTTCTGGTTGCATCTAGTCCAGTACGGTCTCAGCCTCCCTAGTCCCAGGACCCCCAGCTGTATCCTTAGGTTTCCTAGTCCTCTTCGTCTAACATCTCCGAAGCACCCCTCTTGGACATTTGTGGGCCACCTCTAGGGATGGCTTCTGTGACTCAAGAACTCCAGCTGCATAGAGAGAGTCACCTGGGGCCTGGAAGGAAGGGCGCTGACTGTTTTCAGGGGCGTGTCTCCTCCGGGCCAGCCTTCCCTACACTTTTTCTGTCAACCTCATAGAGAAAGCTTGCGGATGGAAATGGTGATGAGGACAGGTGTGACTAGCCCACTTCGTGCTAAGCTTGCCCTTGGTGGGGACGGGGGAACTTAAAGTTCTCAGAGGTCTGAGGTTGTGTTTCTTGGTGGGCTCCAATGTGGACCACAGCTGCTTCCCGTGAGGTTTTCTGTGCTCTCCAGAGCTATCCTTAAGATTTCCCGGCCTCGGGTCTCTGTCGTGTTTTCATCCACCAGCTTTCCTTTGCAGTGAGGCCTTTCCTCGTTTAAATTTCCCATAGCATCTCCGATCTTTACCCCTTTGTAGGGTTCAGTCAACAACAGTGGTTTAATTGAATTTAAAGGTAAAGGAAGAAATGGGGAACATAATCCTGAAAAACAAACTGTGCCAGAGAAATCAGCTCTGAAAACAAAAGCAGCTGTGATTATTGCTAATCACGTCCGCACACTGGAACTCCGTCACTCAAGTCCTCAGCATCTTCTGGGGAGAGGACCACAGGGTCCAGTAGGGACAAGACCTCTCTTTCCTCTTTGCTAAGAGTCTGTCAGCCCCCAGGCAGGCCAGTCACCCTGGTCTAATGCTGGAAAAGCACAGCCAAAAACCTGAAAGATTTACTGACTGAGAACTAATTGTTTACCTGTGAATAGGGATGCCCTTTTTCATAAGGATTCCCCCCCACCCCCCTGTTCCAGGACATCTTGCCTCAGACTAAAGAAAGCTGGAAATATCAATTACTCAGGATATGTAGTGACCCTGAGCCACGTGTCCCCACCCCTGACAGCACCCTAAACTGTGTGTCTCAGCTACTCGAATAACGCAGCAACACCTCCTAACCAGAATTTGGTTCTGGCCAAATGACTCTTCCACAGCGGGGTTACCTATATATTAATGATGGAGTTCCGTAGCCTAGGTTTGTGGTAAACACAAAGATGGACTGCACTGAAGATGCATGCAGTCTCTACTCCCCAGGAAGTCACTGTGTACCCAGAAACACACACGAAACCACACGTGACAGTAGAGCAAATCCTCTCTTACACTTTCCACAATGACCAGGGATACCTAACACCCTGATTTGTTTTGCTTTTTCCTGTGTGCCCTGTTATACAGTACCAGGGTTCATTTGTCCGTTCATGTTTTGTGCTCTAACACTTCTTTGGTATTTTTACTTTTGCACTTCATGGCTCTATTTAAGTGAAATAAAGGCCCATTATTAATTAATTGTGGTGATATAATTGCCACAGTGGATAGGCTGATAACTGACGTGGCTGACGGGCAGGTAGTGTGCACAGCATTGACGTGACGGACAGAGGGATGAGTCACGTTCTGGAACACAGTGGCAGAGCAGTGTGAGATTTCCTCATGTTATTTGGAACTACATACAAGGGAAACTTTACTGTTTCCAGAATTTTCCACTTACTACTTTCAAACAGTGGATAACTGAGATCCTGGACAGTGAAACTAGGTGGGAGGAGGGGACGATTTCAAGGTAATCTGGAAGAAACACTTCGAAGACCTGTAGGAAGCCTCATGGCATCTCTGCCCAGTGGCCTGTGGGGATCAGGAAGCCTCTGCCAGGCCCTAAAGCTAACAGAGTGAACATGGCCGAGTGTGGACACAGCCGGATAGAGAGATCAGGATCTCCAGAGGGATGGGGAGTGGAGGGGAGCATAGTGAGAGGAATTTCCTTCTTTCCTTCTTTCCTTTGGTTTTTGAGGCAGGGTCTCTCTATGTAGTTCCTGCTGTCCTAGAACTTCCTATGTAAAAGAGGCTGGCCTCGAACTCACCGAGATCTTCCTGCCTCTGCCTCCCAAGTGCTGGATTAAAGGTGTGTGCTTCCACACCTGGCAGTAATTGGTTTCTAAGAGACCTGGCAGTGCTAGGCTGAATCACTTCCCAACCCCCAGCTGCCCTGCCTTTATGTGGCCACAAAGAAATGAAACACCCTTGTTTTAGCCTGGGATGTAGAAATAGTAAAATCAATTATTTGGGACTGGGGTTTATTGGATAAATTCAGGAGATTAAGTGAGTTTACCATCTTGTGAAGAACTCTCAAGCAAATTACAGAAGTGGAGGAACTAACACCAGCAAAGGGAATGGTGTGTGGTGGAATTCCAAAGCCCATCCAAGAGTCCTAAATGTACTTCCCTAGGGGTCAACAGAGGACTTGCAGACTAAAGAGAAGCTGACTTGAGACCAGCAAGGCCACTTGCTGGTACATGCTCTAGTCTGAAGTTTCTTGTGAAGAGAAGGAGGAAATAGAGGCCATTGGAAGCTGGCCACTTGGTGAGACGGAGCCTGCTGATGCATTACAGCTAAGGATGAGAGCCAAGGGCAGGGTGGAGCTGAGAGGCCCAGCCTCCTCAGCCCTGGGCAAGCCGACTTACAGTAGGTCAGGATTGTTGGGCCTGCCTCCACTGGCCAGAGCTAAATTTGCTGCTTGAAACTGCCTGTGAGAGCAACTCTTTGGCAGAATGCCTCTATTCTCAGGAATTTTCCCTCCAAGTATTTATTATTTACTGGTGATCTCTTCCATCTGAAAGAGCCATAGTGCCATGATTTTGTGCTTAGACTCAAAGAATCCTGGGTTTAACCTTTACCCTGCCATCTACTGGCCTTACAACTTTGGAGAGTGTATGCCAGTCTCTTGGAGCTCAAAGTATCTCATGTGGAAAAGGAAAATGGCAAGACTACGACAGGGGACAGGCAAGTGGTTACTGGAAGGTAATACCTAAGAAGCCCAGAACTTGGTATGCGGCAGGCTCTTAGGTATCCAGCTAGCCCATCATCAGCTCTTGGCTACACTGGGCACTGCTGGATATTTCAGTTAATTAAACATTTCTACACTAATTTCAGGAGTACATAGCATAGTTATTTCTAATTGTTAATATTGAGTCATGTGTCTACCCAGACATGGTGGCAAACATTTAAATCCTCCAGCACACAGGAGGCTGAAGCAAGAGGATCAGAAATCCAAGGCCTACCTAGTCCACAGAATAAATCTGAGACCAATGTGAGTAAATTCTTTCAAAATTACATTCCCTGGGTGTCATTTGATGGTAGAGCACTTGCCTAGTATGAGCAGGTCTCCAGTTTGATCACCAGCACCACAATTTATTTTTCTCTTTTTGTAAAAATCTACCCCAGACCCTGGGGAGAGAAGACACCCAAATAAAGTATATGTGTTGAAGTTTATCTTACGTACATCTACGTAAGATCAGAGAAGTCCTAAAGGCTGAAACTCATCCGACTCAGGAATGTTGGATAAAATGTGGCTACCCTGCGTTACCATTTTACAAATGCCAAAGCTGAGGTATGCAAGGATTCCCAGCACCCAAGTTCACCTGAATGAGGGTAGAGCGAAGGCTGGAAACACAGGGCTTTCTGACCTCAGGTTGCTGCCAGCCATCTCTTTTCATGGAATTTCTGGTGACTCCATACACATTCCCGAATACAGCAAATTCCAGTAGCCTAGAGTCCCAAGTTCCTCAGTACTCAGAACCATCCAACCTTTCACAGTCTCTTCCTGCCCAAAGTTATGCTCCCTAGCCTTGCTTTCTGAAGCCCTTTGGTCTGACAGTGTGTCCAAGGTGATGAAAAGTGTAACTGCATCAGTATGACTAAGCATCCTGATTCCTCCATCCTGGTATCACATTTGGGGGAGGTGTCACAAAGAGATGGAATATTGGCATTTCTTTATCTAAGTTGAAAGGTTTTATTTTTCAAAGTTGAAAGGTTTCTTTTTCCTCTTATGTAAAAATTAAAACTATTTTAACCCTGGAGACCCTTAGATGAAAGAAACATCTTTACTGGGCAAGTAAAATAAAATAAAATAAAAATGTTATTGCACCTATAGAATTACTGAGTTGCCAAAGAAATCCATACTGAGATGAATTATTTCAAAAGGTAGCATTTTGGTGATGGTATGGGTTTAATACCAATAATATATCATAAGTCTCTTTGTTTCCTACAAAGAAAAAAATAAGTAAAAAAACAAAACAAATAAACAAAAAAAAATAAAACAGTTGCCGGGTGGTGATGATACACGCCTTTGATCCCAGCACTTGGGAGGCAGAGGCAGGTGGATCTCCGAGTTTGAGCCCAGCCTGGTCTACAGAGAGAGTTCCAGGACAGACAGGGCTACACAGAGAAACCCTGCACCCACCCCAAAACAAAGCAAAATGAAACGAAAAACAAACAAACAAAAACCCAAAACCACCAGCAAAACAAAACAATCTCCATTGGACATATCTACACCAGCAGGAGAGCAGACAGACCCAGTCCCCACACACTCCACCTGGAATAACTTAGTGGAAGTGCTGTTTGCCCAGTGCCACTCCCAAGTTGCTAACTCAGGTTCCTACGGACTTCATGCTAAGACCACAGAAACAGAGGGCTGTACTGCATGCATCCTTCCCAGCAAGCTAGGGAAAAGGTAGAGATGTGCATAGCAATTAGTAACTCACGCAGGACAGGGCAAAAACTGAGTAGCCCCTGTGTCTTCTCCTGGATCTCCAGGAAGTCCAGGAAACAAACTGCCCGAAATCCAGTGGAAAAAGGGACACTGTGCATACAAACATGGGCTTCCATCCAGTCAAGAAGAAGGATGGCTCAGATCACGAAGACTGAGAAAGCCGGAGCTTT